TGGATTTGTGTTACCAGAAATCTTGGAAACACTGCTTTGAAAAGAAAGACAATATCCCTGGCAGGGACAGATTTTTAAAATGTGTAAGCTGCTGTTTTTGGTTACTATGTTCATACTTTGGTGTACCTGTATTTTCTTTTTAACTTTCATCCCATTATTAATGATCTTTGGGGGTGGTCTGTAAAAATATAAACATGACAAACTGCGGAACTGTACCTCCCAATTAACCAACACATGTTGTGTTTGAGTCTGGTCATTTCCAATAATGGATGATGTATGTAAACATGTCTCTTAGTGCAAAAAAGAAACTTTTTTCCTTTTTAGGGCTGGCTCACTGTCAGGCCTAATCTAAAGCCTAGATATAAGGTCATGTGACTGCTGCTTCAATAAAAAAATTTATATTGGATAAAGTCTGGTCTTTCTTATTTACTACGGTGACAGGTTTTGATAATTTCATTAGTTGTGTATAAAGTAGTTAAATGCATTTAATCAGTGCTAGTCTTTGAGAGAGGCCTCGATGCAGCTTATTTGGGGTAGACTGAAATCTTGTTTATACTCTGCCTTAGCTATATGGGGTTCACTGGTGGTGCTGTGGATAAAAGCATGTAGGTACTAACAAAAAGGTGGGTGGTTCGAACCCACCAGACATACCATGGGAGAGAGCTGCATCTGTCTCCCATAAGATTTATAGTCTAGTTCTGCCGTACAGGGTGGCTGTGAGTGATGATGGTGGATTTTGGTATAGTGGTTTTAGTTGAACTTGAGCTAAGTCGTGTGATAGCTGTCCTCCATGGTAGCCTTTTAGCATCTTGAAAGGCTTCATTTTTTGAAATAAAGCCTTCCAGAAAGTACTGGCTAATCCTTTGGCATCAGGTTTGAGAACCACAGTCATGAAGGGAGGCATTTTGGAAGGTGTTACAGAGGGTTAGTGAGAAATTGAAGGATCAGGTTGCAGGTCGTGGATTCCCCTCATTCAGAACTTTGTGAGACAAGAAAAGAGATGGGTCACCTGTTTCTGTGATGTAGGAACGCTTCACTCACACACCAGCACTGTCACATTTACATCTGTGGGTGCAGAATAGGAATGCAACCAGGGGGAACCCTGTGTGGACAGTGTCAAGAGGAGAACCGCAGGCTGGAGTTAGGAATGAGTAACTCGAGGCACATTTCTCTCTGTTGTTGTTAAATGCCTTCGAGTCATAGACGACTCAGCTACCCTGTGAACAAAAGACGTGAACACTTGTGTAACTTTCATAATTTCTCCAAATTCATAAAGTTTTCAGAGGCAAGCCATTTCGGAAGTGGATGCCACTCCTCCTTTCAAGCTTGTTTTAATCAGGAATCTCCACCAAACACTGTTCACCATTAGTAAGATTACCACATTTGGCACATCAGTGTCAGTGTTCAGCATCACAGCAACCGCGAGTTAACCTCTATACAGCAAATAGATCAGTGTGATACCACCTAGAAGAATATCTGATCAAAACAATTAAAACCAGGCCTGAGGGCCACAGATTAAAATCATCCACCTTTGGCTAGGTAACATCACTTTCTGTCCACTAGGCCAACAGAGTTCTCTCCATGCCGTCGAGTCGTAGATGTTGCTCTTTACATCCTCTTTTATCCAGGAAGACCAATTTGAGCCTTCCCACAGTAAGATTTCTTGCTATCATTGTTAAAATTAGACCTTTAAAGTTTGGGTGAGGGGCTAAAGAATGGCTCTGCCCAATATGGGTATCAGAAGGTGAGCAGTAGCTTATTTAAGAGGTCCTGAGGCTTGTGGACTGAAAACTTCCTGAAAGAGCCGTATGGACCTACAGAACCGCACGGTAGCCACAAGGATGCCTAGGAACTGACACTTAGTTTTACTTGCTCAGAAATGTGGGGAAGGGAATTGTCGTTATATGCCTTCGAGTCACCTGTGACCCAAAGCAACCCTATGTACAGCAGCTCTAAACCCTGCCGTGTCTCCTGTCCTGAGCCAGTCTCACTGATTCCGACACACCAACCCTAATTGTCCTAGTTACTGTCTCAATCCATCTCATCTGGGGTCTTCCTCTCCTGCACTGTCCCTCCACTCTTCCAAGCATGTCCTTCTCCAAGGACACATACCCTAAGTATGTGAGACAGATCTTCAAAATCCTAGTGTTCAAGGATAGACTTGGAACACCCTCTCCAAGACAGATCTATTTGTTTTCTTGGCAGTCCATGGTATGCTCATGACTCCTCGAGCACCAAAACTCTGAAGGCATTGATTCTTCTTTTTTCCTTAGTCATTGCAAAGACCATGGCCTAGATAGGTGCACCTTAGTCTCTAGACTGACATCATTGCTTTTCAACACTTTGGAGAGGTCCCTAACTGCAGGTTTTCCCAGTGCAATTCATCTTTTGATGGAGCCAAACAAGCTGTAACTGGGAACAACCTCAATCTGTTCTCCATCTATCATGGTGCTACCAATTGGCCCAGTGGTGAGAACAACAAATCCAAATATTAGAGAGAAAGTTAAACTAGTCCTGTGACAGGTTATGTAGTAGTTGTAGAGGGAAGTTGTAGACAGAAGTATAGCACTTGACTTCCTCGGTGCATCTTGCCTTGAATCTTACCTAAATTTTATCTACTCAGTCATACATACATATCTATTCATTATTCTTAGAAACTGTTTTTTAAATCAACAGCAGGAGATGAAAGTTTACCCCACACCCCATCTTGATTTCACCTTAACCTCATCTATTCTGATAATAACCAGTTGCTGTTCAATTGATTGTGATTTGATTCATGGCAACCTCACGCATGTCTGTCTGCGTTGACCTTGCTCTAAAGCATTTTCTGTGGCTCTTGTCTTCTGAGGCACCTCTGGGTTACAAGCCTCAACCTCCCCCCCCATACTTTTCCCCCCTACTAGTTTATTTACAAAACTTGAATACAAATTTGAACAAATTTTTTCCATTTCCCTCATTCCCCCCACCCGTAAAATTGTACAACCCAATGATTACTCTCCCTCCTCCCTCTGCATGTCCACACCCCTCTGCTTCCTCCATCTCCCACCCCTCCATATTCTACAATAATGGTTTTATACAACATTTTTCTTCATAAATATTGACTGAATTAGTTCACTCAGCATAATGCTCTCCAGCCCCTCCCAAGTTAGGTAATAATTTACAAAGTTATTGCTCCTACATGCTGCATAGTATTCCATTGTGTGAATGTATCATAATTTCTCAATCCATTCATGTGTGGTTGGACATTTGGACAGTTTCCATGTTCTTGAGATGGTGAATAATGCTGCTATGAACATTGGTGTACGAATCTCAGTTTGTGCCTCAGTTCTCATAGTCTTGGTATATTCCAAGTCGTGGACTAGCTGGGTCATATGGAATTTCTATGTTCAGCTTTTTGAGGAAGCATCAAACTGCCTTCCAAAATGATTGCACCATTTTACAATCCCACCAACAATGTATAACAGTTCCTTTCTCGCCGCATCCTCTCTGGCATCTATAATTTGCTGTCATGCTAAACTTTGCCACGGTTAGTGGAGTGAGATGGTATCTCATTGTGGTTTTGATTTGCATCTCTCTATTGCCCATGATCTGGAGCATTTCTTCATGTGTCTGTTGGCCACTTTCTCTGTGAAAATTCTCTCCTTGTTTTTTGCCCATTTTGTAATTAGTCTTTTTCTTGTGGAGGGCCAAGAATATTCTGTAAACTTTTGTTATAAGGCTCTTTTCTGAGATGGTATTACCAAATGTTTGTTCCCAGTCTGTAGGTTTTCTTTTCACCCTGTTGGAAAAAGTTTTTGATGTGCACAGGGATTTAATCTTTAGAAGGTAGCAGCCAAGCACAGGCACTGTTCACATCACCTAGGGCTTCCGCTTACTCTAGCTGACACTTAACACCACTTGGGAATTGCAGATTACTTCAATAGAGAGGGAGATGCATGTGATTTATTAATAAAGTTGAATGGAATTGTTATTTCCAAATGAGTATAATTAGATAAAATCCCCAACGGGACAAAATCTGTATCCATTGAGTTTGGATGGGGAAACTGACTTTCCTACAGTTTCTTTTTTAAAAGTGTTATGCCATTGAGTTGGAACTGACTCTTACCTGACTTTCCAGTAGGTTTTTCAGATGCTTTATATCACACCTGATAAGGTTGCCCATCTTTTTCTCAAGGAGCAGCTGGTAGGTTCAAACCACCTGCCTTTGGGTTGGCAGCACAACTCCTTATTCGCGATGCCACAAGCGTTCCTATTCTAAAAACAAAGGTTTTCTTTATCTCCAACGTGTAGATGAGGTTGTAAAATGGTGATTTCTTATGTTATCAAAGTTTGAGCTGTGTCTTATGAATTAGCAAAGTTATTCCCGTGCCTTAAAATTTAATTACTTTTTATTGACGCTGAACCTTGTGCCATCGGGGTGTCAAATGCCATAACAGCTGTCCACGGTGGACAGTGTTTGGTAGAATTCCCAGTTTAAGACAAGTTTGGAAGCAGGAGTGGCATCCACTTCCTAAACAACATGCCTCTGGAAACTATGAACTTTGATAAATGACAATACTTACAGAAAGGCTTCCAGGCCTTTTATTCATAGGGTCGCTATGAATCGTGCTTGACTCAACAGCAATCAACAACAAATTTCATTTGCAACAGAATTTCATTTGTATATTTTTTCATTATGGTATATGTATAAATTTTTTATATAGAACAACCATTGAGCAAATCAAGTAATATAATGCATTTTTATGTTCTTACATCAGCAGGACAGTTCTTACACCATCTTCAGATGGGTTAAAAGCAATAATAAAATAAGGGAGAAAATATGTATCTTGTCCTGTCTCCCCATTCCTAGTTAACATTTTCCACCAGAATAAAATACAGAAGGTTTATATTTCAGCCGAAATTTAAGTCCTCCTGACTTGAGTTGACCTTGATCCCAGGAACAAATGTGGTAAGCCTTGTTTGCAGGTGTGGAATGACTTTATAAAATTTAAATGTAGGAGTTACTTCAATTCAGGGGCATTTTCACTCCCAATTGGATGGTACAAACAAGGCAGAGGCACGTTCATTCTACAAGAGATGTGAACAAGAGCAAAGTGCATGAAAGTGGTTCTGCTGTGGCAGGTTTATTACCTGTGGCCATCGCTCTGTCACAGTGTTCAGCAAACCCCAGCCCCAGTTCAGATGTGGGGCAGACCACGCCACACACGTGCACACAGCCACACAGCAACCTTCCTCCCACCCCCTGCTCGACAGGACCCCAGCACAGCTCAGCACCTCCAGAGAGACGTTCCTTCAGCTGCTTTGGTCAATTCATTCTTCTCCTTCTGATCAATGTTATTTGTGTTTCTGCCTTATTTTCTCTCCATTTTTAGAGGCCTGTGTCTGACTCCGCTTTGGGGATCCCACATAGCAGGATGCAAGGTGATTAACACTATGTTTGATGAGCTACAGAGACACAGGATAAGGTGCCAAGAATGAAGGACAAATAGAGATGCTGACAAAACTGGCATTTGTTGCAGGCATCCAGACTTGTCTCTAGAATGTCCCCATAAACACAAGCCTGTATTGCCCAGCCTGTACACTAGTGTCTGCAGGAATGTTCTAGAGGTTACAGAAGGAGTGGGACTTGAGGGACGGCATTCTCAGTGAACAGACTCGAGACACTGGTGCATTGAAACTGCATTTGGTCACAGCCTCACGGATGGCCCTCCCAGGTCTGTCCTGACCCACCCCACACAATATCCTTGTACCCATTGACCACAGGGCCCTCTCACATTGGGGCAACCTTGCCTCTCTGGCATGTCCAGCCGGGAAGCCAGGCATTCTCTGCATCAAACCACCGACTGAACTGGGAGCTGGGAGTGGGGGCACTCATGCCTTCTTTCTGAAGGAGGCCCGCCAGCTGTGATCATGGCCGACCACAGTGCCCTGGGGAGGCAGGAGCGGTGAGGTATTGTCGGCTGTTGGTGGTGTCCATCTGTTGAGCTCCAGCGGGCCCAGGAGGTCGCTGCGCTGCACAGGCCCCACCCG